TCTCTCTGTGTGTGTGTGTGTGTGTGTGTGTGTGTGTGTGTCTCGATCTCTCTGAACGAAGCCCCCTTGGCTCACCCTTCATCTCCTATTCGATGTGTGTGTGTGTGTGTGTGTGTGTGTGTAATTTCCGACGAAAATGTAGCGGCATCTACCTTTACGGGCTGTTGTCAGTTTTTGAGGGGAAGCTTTTCCAATCGAGATGATTTGTAGATGTATAATCCAAAAATAGATGACAGATACGTAGTGTCTGTCATCTATGATGATTGAGAGCCAAAAAAGCGAACAAAAAAAAAACAAAAAAAAACGGCCTCCCCTTGATGTCAATCCAATTAACTGCGGCCGCTGAACATCTGGGGCCAAGTCCCACTAGCAGCGTTGAGCTACCTCAACGCCTGAATGTGGACGCTTTTGCGGAGATGTGCAGAATTGGTGTTGAGTTTCCTGAACTGCACGTCTCCACAAACACGTCCAGATTCAGGCGTTGAGGTAGCTCAATGCTGCTAGTGGGACTTGGCCCCTGATCTAATCCTTATATTTTCTTTCCTTTTTTCTTTTTCTTTTTTCTTTTTTCCTTTTCTCTTTTTTTTCTTCTTTTCCTTTTCATTTTCGTTTTCCTTTTTCTTTTCCTTTTTTTCTTTTCCTCTTTCTTTTTCATTTTCTTTTGTATTTTTACTTCTTACTTTGAATACGTCACGCACTTGGGTCACTATTCTTCTAGCGCTTGTTCCCACTGCATTTCAATGAATGGAATATGACACTGTACAAGTGTCCTTCGGGATGTATAAATCCGTTAAACTTGGAACGATACAGAGAATGGAGATTAGCATGGACCCTAGGCTTTCAAGGATGACACGCATAAATGAATCGAGGAACGTCCCAATTTTCTTCGACTTTAGTTCGGCTCTGTGAAAGGACTTTGAGAGGTGTAGTGTAGAACACGTGGGAGCTTTACGGCGCGAGTGAATTAACCACTACTTTTAATTTAACGTAATTCAAAAAAATACAAAAGGAATATTTAGAAGCTACTCTTACCATTTCTGTCTTTTTTTCGCATTTGCGCTCTGATAAATTTGTGACGATATATATATATCGTCAAACAGAGCGCCCCGGTAAACCGTAGGCAGAGAGGGAGGGAGGGAGGGGGAGAAGAGGACAACAAACGAGGGGCTGTGACAAAGTGTTTCGGCGGAGTTTATATATATATCTGTTTGTGACGATATATATATATAGTTCAGGGAGAATGAGGTGAGTCGAAATTCTCTTATATGAGTCATACTTCGGCCTTAAATGTCAAATAAGAGACGGCTCTGCTTCCCGTTGCGCGTTTGGCTCCACTCTGGCGATATATTTTTTGGCTGTGACAGACCTTTCTTTGTTTCGTGGATGTTTTGCTGGCTTGTGATGGGGTGTGAACCGAGAGTCTGTAGAGTTTTCCATCTGGTGTGGGTGAGTGATAGTCTACTTTGATTTTGGTTAAGGTAGATTATCATTTACAGTGTAATCAGTGAGGGGATTCTGCAGACTGTTGAGGGTTCAGCCTCCTGATGAGTCG